CCTACCTGGCTGGGGGCAGCCTCCAGGAGTAACTCTGCGTTTTATTATTTTATTTTATTTCCCCTTTTTCTAGGCTGGGGATTTGCGGGAAGAGTGGCCCAACAAGTCGTAGCTATTGGGGAAAGATCTAGAGCCTCAAATCAAAAAAAAAAAAAAAAGAAAGAAATACCACAGGCCCATGCAAACCCGTTCCTGCCTTTTACAATTCCTTCCTGAGAGCGCGCGATGGGCACGCACACACCCGGCTTACTGGGGTCTGGGGGAAGGTTAACCGGCGCCCGGGGCCTGGCTCGGGAGAAAACACACTCTAAAAACACAGACACGGTATTTGGTTTGATCTGTTGCAAAAAAAAAAAAATGTATTTGATTACTTGAGTAAAATTACAGTATCTCTGTTGTTAGTACGTATTAAATGTTAAAGAAATTGGACCCCCCACCCCTTTCCTTTCAGCTTTCCGAGAAAGTGCATGTAACAGTCCAACGGTTCCTTCCAGACCGGACGCAAAAGAAACCGACAGGAGGCCTGCACTCTTGACCAAGAAGCAGCCACTTGCTCTCGCGTGAGGACACACATATGTACATTTTAACGAACGCGATCGTTCTCACTGTATTCACAAGAGCAGCTACGGTTTCTCCATCGGAGGCTGTTCAGGACGTGATACGTAGCAGCATTGGGAAATTCCAGCACACGTTTGCCATGGTGAAGAGATACCTACAAGGCAAGAAATGTCACGTCTCAGTTCCCACGACCAAAACAACACTTGTATTTTCTCTAGAGAATGCGGCGTGCTCCTTATTGTACAGAAACCTACGAACATCGAGGACGACTCAAGTAAAAAGCACAATACAAGAGCAGTTCAGAACGGAAATGGTTAAATCTACAAAAAAAAAAAAAACAACCAAAAAAAAAAAATCAGGTTGAATTTCAGGATAAAAATTTAAAATAATAAAAGGCAAAACAAACAAAAACCCCAAACCAAAAAAAAAAAGAAAAAAAACAACCCCCAAACCTTTCAAAGAACCACACTGTTCAGTCTGTACGTCTTTAGTCCTTTTCCTTAATTCTGTTTTTCGGAAGATGAGACAATGCGTTTGCTGAGAAAATGCTCCAGCAGGATCAAAGTGTACACGTATATACAGACTTTATTAGAGATCTAATGCATCGCGGGGGCATGGCGCCCACCCCGGATTCGTATTAAACTGGATATAGAAAATAAGTTAATGCCAGATTAAGACCGCCGAGCAGGGCAACTTTGCAATGGCCATAAATGTTACAGCAAGTTTACAGCACTCTAGTCAATTAGTACGTAGTCCCAAATACAGAAGACCAAAGTTAACGCTTGCGTTCTGTCTGCGGAGCCAGGTTATATCACTAATAAATAAGCTTTCTGAGAACTCTAGAAGTGGAACAAGGTACAAAAGAATGTCTTCGTCACGGGGAAGTAGTTCAGCGGTCTGGGGGGGGGGAACCCCAGGGG